TATATTGATCTGATGTTGGTCTTTGTTGAGGAAGTGGTCATCATAAGTTAGTCATTATCTATTTATCTCGACCAAAGATTGTAACTTGTAATTGTACCAGATCACTTTTAATTTCAATGCACATGTTGAGTCTTTGCATTAGTTGTTGTCAACTGTTTCAAGTGTGATGTGCTAAGATTTTACTCAGCAGATGCAGATGGAAATTGCTAAAATTCAAGTTTAATGTTGTACATAGTCTCTTACAAAAAAAATGAAAGAAAACAAATCCAAAAATATTTTATATTTTTTCATTATTAATTAATCTGAGGATTATTCTCTTGTCTGGTTTAATCGTTTAATCTATAAAATATCAGAACATTGTGAAAATGTCAACCACAGTTTCCCTGAGCCCAAGGTTAGTTATTCAAATTACTTTGGATGTTCGGATGTTCACTATCATATCAAACGTTCCCAATTGATAAGAAACAATTAATTCATTATCAAAATAATAGATTTTTGTAGATTCATTAGCCTATTCAGCTATTCATTTAAGAAATTATAATGAGACAGAAACCAGTTTAGCAACACAAACCCATTATTTATATATTTATATGTATTATAATGTTTATACAGCCTTGCCTCATTTTTCTTAAACAGTCATTTCACATTGCAAAAATCCTGCAGAATGAAACTAAGAAGAAATCTTTATCCTCCCTTTATTCTAGGGCTTACAGGACGGTTTTACTTTGAAAGTCAGGGACCGGATGTGTAGTTTCCTCTCTGTCCGCGTTGACGGTGCTGTGGGTGGAGGGACAGTGAGAGACAGACAGTGGCATCAATGACAGGGACACCACCGCTCGGCCTGTTTCATGTGTGTGGCTCCAGGCAGCGGACAGCCGGCCTGTTGGATCCGGAGCTGAGGATGCGGGAGCAGGTGTGGGCCTCCTGGTTCCCCGCTGCCTTCTCTCATCATCACCGCTCTCACATCATCCGTGTCCGCCGACAGAGACCTGCGGCCGTGCGATGTGGTGAGTGCGCTTCTTCTTATCTATTATTCTTCTTATTATCTCCAAATATCCTCACTTCAAAACACAAGTGGGGTTTTAAAAAAAGACCAAAAATAAGCATCTTAGTTGTTCTTTTGGAACCATTATTCTCATCTAGGATTTTAATTACCTATTTTAATGCGGTGATCAAGTCAAGAAAATGGCCATGCATGCGGGAATAAACAAGCAGACTAGATCAAAAAAAAAAAAAAAAGGCTTCTCCTAATGCACAGTATTACTTCTCAGTAGTATCTGGATCTATGCGAGAACACACGGTCCTCCTTCACGCTGCTTGATCGGCTTAAAAATGTGCTTCATGTTGACCATAAACACGCTCCATGAGGATGTGACGCTGCCTGCCGGCCTCCATCCCTCCCCTGAGCAGCCTCCCCGCCGGTCAACCGGGGCCGGGATTACCCGCCGAGGAGGAGAGAGAACCGGGGTAGTGCTGTCATCTGAGCAGAGCTGAGCAAATCACGGATCAGTGTGTCTGTGAATCACCCTGAAAGCAAAACCTTGAGGGGGTTTCATGGAGCCCAGAGGCAAAGTGAGGATGTTACAGTGTGGACAAATTACATACATAACATATTTTCCCCCCATTTATTTATTTATTTACACATTTATTTGTCTAATTCTGTATTTATACATTTGTTTATGTCTATATTTATACATTTATTAATTTATTTATAGCTTATCCCAGTTAGTCCAATCTAAAAAGTTACATTTTACAATAAACATCCACATTTTACAGCAATTTATAAAAACCAATGTTACAAAAATTGAGGATTTTGGTACTTATTCACTTTTTCTGGAAAATTAGATTACACATTAGAACACTTAATATGTAACAGCTGGTTAGCTGGCTCTCTTTCTGGTAGGTGGTTGCCTCCACAGTGCATTCACATTTTTGCTTTTGTAAAAGTGCAAAAGTAATGGCATCAAAATATACTTAGTGTTTGGCCCATTTCAGAGTAATGTACATTATATTACTGGATTATAATCCTTCGCAAAGGTTTGGGTAATTTTAATACTTTATACACTTTTATTGTCCGAGTAGCTTACCTCAGGCGATCATTAAAGTTTATCTTAATAATAATATTACATGGTGAATTTGTTGATATTGATCATGTTTCGTGTTATTAATCTGAATCTGCAAAGTGATTAGTATTGAAAGTTAACAAATAAAGAAAGGGTGAAGTATAATATTCCTCTGAAATTTGGTGTAGTATAATAGCAGAAAATGGAAATAGGCAAAATTTCTACCTTAAGTACAGTGATATAAAATACCTTTTGAATGCAATGCAAACATGTGAAGTAAAGGTAAAACAATACTATGTTTTGAGAGTCTCAGGATAGCCACAAATATGGAGTGGTGTAGATAGAATATCTGAGATTATGGGACAATAGACAATTACGACAATATTAAAGTTAAATGTGGTGTAAAGTT